GCAATAAAGCATTTCTTAACTTCACATCCTAGCATCACTCCTAATTCTTCCTTTTGTTTAATATTCATATTTATAGCTAATATTTTGGTTTTTCCTAAGTTTATTTTAAAGCCCGACACTTGACCATATTGATTAATCATATTCATTAAAACCATACTGGATTCCTGCGGTTGTTCCAATATTATGACCAAATCATCCGCAAAAGCGCACATTCTGTATTCTTGCTGCCTAATCTTCATCCCTTTTAGACCATCCAAGCCCCGTATTTTATTCAACAATACTTCCAAAGTTATAATAAACAATAGTGGGGACAAAGGACAGCCCTGTCTTGTACCTTTTCCAATTTGAAAAGGGTCTGTCAAGCTGATTTGCTGCTTCACTAAATGTTGAATTATAGTTCTCAGAATTCATTACTGTTCTGATAGATCCATTGGACTCTTGACACCAATGCCCATATTTAATAACATTTCCTTGTATGTTTCCTGAGTGCTTTGAATCTAGGGTCAAAGCTTTGCATTTTTACTCTGTTCTTCATTCTCTTGCTTTTCACTTTGTATTTCACACCCATTGTTTATTCAGAGTCCTGATTTTTATTTTTATCTCACATTGTTTAGTCACCCTATTTCTATTATTCTCCACCCATTTTTCCCATTTTTGTAGTACCTGTAATTCAGCTTTTAATGTCTTGGTTTTATTAGAAGGCTGCTCATACTAAGCATTTCCTATCTTAATATCTTGCTTTATTTATTTATTGTCTCCTTCCGCCATGAGTTCTCCATTTCTCATCTCGGCATCTTTTTTTTTCTTTTAGTTTAACATTTTTATTTCAGTATCCTTGTTTCTTAGCTTTTCTGGTTTTGGGGGACTCAAATAAGCCTGTACCTATTGTGTTGCTTGCTTTATTGCCAAACCAGCACTTACAATCTGGGCTTTCAAAGCATCTGGAGATTTTGAGTAACCAGTTTCACAATTACCCATTTAGTATAACACTTAATTTTAACAGATTACAATTGAAAACTGCTTGCAGTTTGTTTAATTCTAGCAAAAAGGTTTTATAAATTAAACTGCAGTAAACAAGTCACATCTTGACTAAGAAAAGCCTTGATTTGTTTTCTTTCCTTTAGCATACTAAATAAGCTTACTCCTGAAAAGTTTGACAAGCTATGCCTTGAGCTCCTCAATGTGGGTGTAGAGTCTAAACTCATCCTAAAGGGGATCATACTGCTGGTAAGATAACATAAATTTATTAGAAAAATACTGTTTAATAAAATTTATATTATGTACAGCAGGTATAATTTTTCAAGATTCTCAAAATGTACAGCTTGCAGGTTGTTCAGTGTACTGTGAACATGGATATTATAGAAGTTACGTTATAAAACAGCAACTTAGAGAATGAATTATTCTCAAATGATCACTATGTAGTGGTACTGTTTCCTATATATGCTTATAAGATTACATAAATCAGTTGAGCTTTTTCCTATCTTAGTAGTAAAGGTAGAAATTTCTAAGTGCAAGGGAATACTGACTCAGCAAATAATATGGCTCTAATGTAGCCTGTGGGAAAACACTGAGCTGGTGTGTTTCAGTGTCATGATTGTCCAGATAACCATACACCAGGTTCCAAGAGTAGAAATCAAGCATGGAAATGCAGCTTGCCTTACACTATTGTCTCTGTTAAAATACATTAGATTTTGTTTATTGGACATTGATACCTGGTAGATTAATGAATTATTGAATACTAATTGTCCCATTACTTAATTGTTTAGAGGAAGAGCAAGGTAGGGAATGTTAATTACACTATAGTTTTTTGTACTGCATAATTGTCATTGTGAATTTCTGAAACATCAATAAAACTGGATAGGATTAGCTAGGGTCATTTTAAAATGCAGGTTTTAAATATTAAACAAAGTTCCATATAATTTATGAAGTCTCTGCTCTCAGATCGTAGACAAAGCCCTTGAAGAGCCAAAGTATAGCTCGCTATATGCTCAACTATGTCTGCGACTGGCAGAAGATGCACCCAACTTTGATGGCCCATCCACAGAGAGTCATTCAGGACAGAAGCAAAGCACAGTGAGTATAATTCTCTTTTGGACTAAAGCTATTATGAGAATTGGTATTTTAAGAAGACAAGACATTAAAATGTTTGCATTCTAAATCCTAGACATTCAGACGCCTCTTAATTTCTAAACTTCAAGATGAATTTGAAAACCGAACCAGAAATGTTGATAGTAAGTTTTCAGAATACTGTATTTCTTGATTTGCTTGGTTTTTTTGTCATAAAAATAGAACAATGTCTAAAACCTATCTCTATTTTTAGTCTATGATAAGCAAGATGGCCCCCTCCTCCCAGAGGAGGAGGAACAAAGAGCTATTGCTAAGATCAAGATGCTGGGAAACATCAAATTCATTGGAGAACTTGGCAAGCTTGATCTTATTCATGAATCTATCCTTCATAAGTGCATCAAAACAGTAAGTGTTTTTTTTAAATTTTTACTATGTAAACCTCATTGGTGAGATAGCTAGTAATGTACTTAAAGATTAAATGGTATCCGCTAATGACTACATGGTGGGCAAACACTCCTAGCAATAAATTTACTAAAATAAAAATTGTTCTTCCTTTTTTACTCCTTAAGGATAACCTGTTAGATCTGCTTGAGTAATCTGGATAAGTTATAGAAAATTCTAGGTCATGTTATCACGAATGTAAAGCACTAACCAGAACTAAAGGGTTGTTTTACCTTATTTTTATTTTCAGGTGGTTAGATTTCTTGTGAAAATGTTGATAATCAAAAGTACCAATTGTGTTGATGTTCTTTTTGAGGAATCCTTAACAATTTCCAGTAGTTTATAGATGGAATCAAATGTTGAATTTGCATAAAACACTAGGCTGAAAAGGAATTGTGTAGCTTGTTTGGACATAGCATCTTAAGTGAAAACAGCATTTGTTTTGTTACTTGGATGTATGGCTTAATGTTATTGAATACCGATTTTATTGATAAACAGCTTGTAAAAATAAGTTGTAAAATGATAGTAAAAATTTTTTATTCAAATTACCCAGCTTTTGGAAAAGAAGAAGAGAGTCCAACTCAAGGATATGGGGGAGGATTTGGAGTGCCTCTGTCAGATAATGAGGACAGTAGGACCTAGACTAGACCATGCAAAAGCCAAGGTAAGCATTAGTACGATTGCATACATATATACATTTCTGTATTTATGCTATTAGTATTCATCTTCCTGGGATAGGCTGTTGTAGATTAAAATATTGTAGTTAACATGTTTAATTAGCAAATAAAAATAACTTGTACATATTAATAAGTTTGTTCTGTTTGATAACTTGTCAACTTGCCAAATGTAATGAATTTCTTTCTCAACAGTCCTTAATGGATCAGTACTTTGCCCGTATGCGCTCCTTGATGATGTGTAAGGAATTGCCGGCAAGGATTCGTTTCCTGCTGCAGGTAAGAGTATAAAATTGCTTACTGTGACAAATCTAGCATATGCCTTGAAGCTAACATTCTGTTAAATCCTTGAAGGATACTGTGGAGTTGAGAGAACACAATTGGATTCCTCGCAAAGCTTTTCTTGACAATGGACCAAAGACTATCAATCAAATCCGTCAAGATGCTGTGAAAGTAAGTATTTCACAAGATACGGATTAAGCTGTGCAGCTCATTAATAGGCATTAAGGTGTATTAAGAAATACTGCTTTTAATTTGATTTCCAACTGACTTTCTTTTTAAGGATCTGGGAGTTTTTATTCCTCCTCCTTTGTCTCAAGGAATGAGAAGTGACTTCTTTCTGGAGGGAGCGTTTATGCCACCCAGGATGAAACTTGACAGGGATCCACTTGGAGGGCTTGCTGATATGTTTGGACAAATGCCTGGTAATTACTATTACTTCAGTGAAGAAATGATATGTGTGTTTTTTATTTTAATTACTTTGACAATAAAATATCCTGAGTTATAATCCTCTTGTTTTTGTGTGTTTTATGAATTCAGGTAGTGGAATTGGTACTGGTCCGGGAGTTATTCAAGACAGATTTTCACCTACCATGGGGCGACACCGGTCAAATCAACTTTTCAATGGCCATGGGGGACACCTCATGGCTCCTGTTCAATCCCACTTTGGAGAGCTAGGCAAATCCTTCTTGAAAAATCCAGTAAGTGACTGATAGAAAGAAGAAAAATGCTGTTTTCTAAATGTAGGAAATGTGCATGGCCTCCCATCATACATTGCATAATTCTGAATGGCTTGTATCAAAAACAATATCAGTTTAAAACCACTGTTCCTTGTCCTGTGTTTTGGAACACCACTAAAAAGGTCTCTTGTATTCTATTCACATAGACCAGCTTTCAAAAACCTGAAGACATGTCTCTTCATAATCTTTTCCAGGTTAAAAGTACTTAGCACGACAACTATTCCAAATAAGCCTTTTCTTCCAGCTCTTACATGTCTCAGTTGTTCCTGTTTTGTTTTATTCAAGTTTGTATTTTTGGAAGGGTGTTGACAGTGTCAAAAAAGATGCTAGAATTTAGTTGTGATCTAATTAATATTGAATAGATCTTTAAACTGTACTATCATTAATGCAAATAAAAAAAAAATTTCTTGGAGCTGCATTATGCTCTTAGCTCAATCTTTTTGCAATTCACCAGATAATTCACATATATGATGCAGACACAGCTCATTCTTCTTAAAATTCTTCTTGTCAGTTTCTGTCCATTGTTCTAGCTTGTCATGTCCTCTTGAATCCTGATATTGTCCCCGTTATTAGCCAAAAACTTAATCTTTCGTTGTTTTTAACCCATTTTATAAGTCAGTGTTGAACAACACACAGCCTTATGTTCTTGTATTTGTTCAATTAATCTTATGTCCTTATAACAGTAATGCAAACAGCTTACATTTTGTCATCTTTTTTACAAGGATATTATAAAAAACTTGATTAATTGTTTGGGAATTGAGTTTATCTCTGTAGTCAAGCAAACAATAGAGAAGATCCAATTGCTTCGCCATGCTTTGTTCTTTCATAAAGACATGCTATTCCTGCCAAGCAATATATTTTTTTCTTAATGATTAACACTAATTTCTGTTCTGGAGTTTGCCCAATATCAGCAACAAGCTTATAGGTCATATAGCCATGCTCTTTTAAGGCTCTTGGATATAATTAGTCTATTCCCGGACACTCTAGTTGTCCATTATGGCTTTCTTGCTCTGACAAAACTGGGAAAAAAAACCCCAAACTTTTATGTTACTTTTAGCTTCCCTTGTGAACTTAAGTTTATTTTGCTTCGGGATTCACAGCCTTCAACAGAGAAGAGGGGGTTTTTTTGTTTTTAAACTTACCAACAGCCCAGCGCTTTATAGTCTTGCAATGCTTTCAACACTGTCTGCTATTTATTCCCATCAGAATCACTAAAAAAGACTTCAGTGAGGTTTTCTAATACATCCCAAATGTGAGCCTGTGAAAGGCAGCACCTTTCTCTTGATAAGACTGCTAGCTCATTGCTGATTGATGTTTTGGTCCCTCAGTAGGAAGTCTCAAATAAGCATCTCCTTTTGCTGTTGCCTCAAGGCACAGACTGGAATTGTCCTCTTTGCAGAACTTGCATAGCCATCTTTGCCCCCTGTGGCAGCTGCAGTTCATCCAGAAGTCTAGAAACAACATCAGCAGGGAATCTGTTCCAAAGCTCCAAGGAAACAAAGCTCATTTTTACAAGTTTGGTTCTTTTGTGTCATTCTGTCATCTCTCCAGTCTCCTGCCTGGCTTGCTTTTTTCTTCTTGGAGCTTGCCACTATTGTTCTTTCTCAAGCATTTTTTGTTGTCCAATACATTTTTCACAACAGCTGATGGATGAACTAGTTTATTTCTAGTACCCCTAGCTGCTTCTCCAAAAAGGCATGTCTGCACCTGCTGCTTGTATAATACTTGCCATCTTCTGGAAGTTCAATAGAAAACATGAAGCTCCCCTTGTAAGTAACAAAAGTACTTCTCTTTCTCTCCATATTCTTCTGGTGTGTTTTTTAAATGTCCCCCCAGCGTCAGGAGCACCCAGGAATAAAGGAGTGGAATTGATTGGGGTCTTTTTCTGCCTCTTTCCTCAGGCATCTTCACTTGCTGCAGTTCTGTTTAGCATATTTTCTCCAGTTTCTAAAATTTAGAATAAAGAGAATATATTTTTCCATTATTTATATGAAATCCAAAGCGTAATTAATAGCTCCCAGATATTATACTTGATGTATCTCCTTTATGAACCCTTCCTTCATATAATTTATTGGTTCCCAAACCAATCATGACCTAAAAATCGCTTATCAGAAAGTCTTAATCTAACTTAAGCTCCTAAATCCCTTCCTTCAGTACTGTCATAACAGTAAGAATAATAGTCATAACTTAAGGATTACCTATATTACAAAAGCAATATTAAATTATCTTTGTCATTTCAACAAATTACTATTGGTGATTTCATCATTTTTTTTGTCTTAATAGGATAAATTGGGAGAATTTTAAATACATTCTAGTACATGTGGCAATCTCTAAGTCAATTTAAATGTCCCTGTGATGATGGATAATGGGTTCATGAGAAAAGAAAAATCATTTTTACCCAATTTGGAATAATTGATTCGAGTTTGGGTAGCACTAATGTAATTGTTGAGATTGAGTCATAGACTGAGAATTAATACTTTGCCTTTTGATTAGATCAACCCGAATCAGCTTGCTTATCTGTAACAGTTGAGATGTTTAAAATGCTAGCTTACAATTAGCAAGACCTAGGTTCACTCTTTGCCGAGAAAGATCAGGGAAAACTTGGGGGCAGGTTTTTGAAATCCAACCTACCTCACAGGATTGTTGTAAGGAAAAATTGGAAATTAGAACTGATGGAAAAGTAAGATAGTAATATTTTCACCATGGTAGAGGAAATTCTAACAAGATGTAAAATGCAATACACATAGAATATATGAAAATATTTTTATGATAAGGAAAAGTTTACACTGTTACAGTCTTTATTTTTCTTTTCATTGTCTTGAAAACAGGGGCAAAGCCAACTATACCATAATCAAAATCAGGGACTTCTGTCTCAACAAGGACAGTCTAAGGATATGCCTCCACGGTTTTCTAAGAAGGGACAGCTTAATGCAGATGAGGTATGCCCTTGAAAAAGAATAGGCACAGTCTTTAAAAGATGCCCAATGATTATAACAAGACGCGTTATTACGAGGATCAAAACTGGAACTCCCCTTCTATATTCCTGCTATTCACTTCCCCCCTCCAAGTTATCTATCTTTTTACCTCTTGCTTCCCCCTCTCCCCCTTTTCTTGGAGTTTCATTCCTCTACCTCTCTTTCCTTCCTCCTTGGAGTTTCCAGTATCCTATGAGCAAGATTATGAGATATGAGGGCAATATCTTAATCATAAACAAGAGCTGTTGAAGTAACTACAGTTGCTGGACAGAGATATAAAAAGCCATTATAAACTTGTAACGAATTGTTTTCTCAAAAATATTGTTGCTATAACTTAGCAGTGCTTCTAAATAACATGCAACTCTGCTGTGGGTAGTTTTCACTGCTACCATAATAGAACCATACTCCAGATTTCTAATATCCAGCTTCTTTTCACAGATTAGTCTGAGACCTGCTCAGTGTTTTGTAGTAAACAAAAACCAAGTGCCAAAGCTTCAGCCCCAGATAACTATGATTCCTCCCAGTGCACAGCCACAACGTACTCAGACACCACCTCTGGGACAGGTAAATGTTTCTGTAATGTTTTAATCAAAGATTTATTGATTATATCCATTGTAAAGGTTGCTTTCTAGAAAGCATATGCATTTTAAGGTATTAAAATAATGGGGAGGGAACAATTAAGACTGTAGCCTAATTTCTATTGTGATTGCATTTGATTGGAATATTGTGTCCTATAGAGGCACTTTGGAGCATTGCAGCACATGTCTCCAGTAAGTCATTTTCTATTTAAGAGTTCAGAAGAACAAATGCTTAGCAATATCCTGGAATTCCACAATATTTGCTTGTTTGGGAGTAAATCCAGGTAAACAGTAAGATTTGATTGGGACAACTAAGTAATAGCATCTTAGAATATATATGCTTACAGGTGATCATGAAAGTGAAAGCCTTTGCAGGGCTATTCCAGGATACGGTTATTGTGAATTTGCCACAGTGCCATGGATAAGGCTTGGTTAAAAGATTCTTAAAATTGCAGTTTGAAACTAGCAAATATTTAAGATTTATGCATTACTGTTAATAAATACACCATTAAACTTCTGGTGTTTTGTTTTTAAGCCACCTCAACTTGGTCTCAAAACAAATCCGCCACTTATTCAGGAGAAGCCTGCAAAGACAACTAAAAAGCCACCACCTTCTAAGGAAGAGCTACTCAAGTTAACAGTAAGTTCATTTAGTCTGCCCTCAAACTACAGTATGTGATAACTGTAAAGAATTAAAGAAAACCCAAAAAACCCTTTTCCTCCTTTTTTAGGAAACTGTTGTGACTGAATATTTGAACAATGGAAACGCCAATGATGCTGTTAACAGTGTGAGAGAAATGAGGGCACCAAAACATTTTATTTCTGAGATGCTGAGCAAAATAATACTTCAGTCACTAGATCGATCAGATGAAGATAAAGAAAAAGCAAGTGCATTAATCAGTTTACTTAAACAGGAAGGGATAGCTACTAGTGACAACTTCATGCAGGTAATACATCTATTCATAAGTACACTTTGATGTCTTTGTATTGTTTGTTGTCAGAACCAGACATGAGAGAATGTAATTAATGCTAGTAAACTTTTTTTCAGGCATTCCTAAATGTATTGGACCAGTGCCCTAAACTAGAGGTGGACATCCCTCTGGTAAAATCCTATCTAGCACAGTTTGCAGCTCGTGCCATAATTTCAGAACTCGTGAGCATCTCTGAACTAGCACAACCATTGGAAAGTGGCACCCATTTTCCCCTCTTCCTACTTTGCCTTCAGCAGATAGCCAAGCTGCAGGATCGAGAATGGCTAACTGATCTTTTCCAACAGAGCAAAGTGAACATGCAAAAGATGCTGCCAGGTAAGGAATGAATACACTGGTACAGAGGGAATTAGGAAGTAGATGGGTAACTATATAATAAACATCTAGTTAGAAAATATGACTAAATGTTACCGAGTTTTAAAAATGTGAGCTCAATATGTAGCATATTAAGTTGACATGCTCAAAGAATATTTGGGACAGTTTTGTATCTATATATTACAGAGATTGACCAGAATAAGGATCGTATGCTGGAGATATTGGAAGGGAAAGGACTTAGCTTCTTGTTTCCACTTCTGAAACTGGAAAAGGAGCTACTGAAGCAAATTAAGTTGGACCCATCCCCTCAAGTAATCTATAAATGGATTAAAGACAACATTTCACCAAAACTACATGTAGATAAGGGATTTGTTAATATTTTGATGACCAGGTGAGAAATGCAACTGAAACCAGTTTGTTGTATGTCATGCATGAGCTAAAATACTATGTTTATATAGCAATGGTGGGATTATTTCCTTATTCTATTATCTATTTATATATGCGTAGCAAAGAAAAAACTTTGCTTTTCTGTTGCTTTACAAGGATGAGTATGTTAAACAATTTCCTTCCAATTCTTTTAGTTTCTTGCAGTATATTTCTAGTGAAGTAAATCCACCTAATGATGAACCAGATTCTTCATCTGCTCCTTCTAAAGAACAGTTGGAGCAAGAAAAACAGCTGCTTCTTTCCTTTAAGCCAGTTATGCAGAAATTCCTTCATGACCATGTTGATCTACAAGTGAGTGCCCTGTATGCACTCCAAGTGCACTGCTACAACAACAATTTTCCAAAAGGTAAGAATAAAACCTTTTGCCTCCCCCTATTTCATGTGCATTTGATATGACATCAGGATAAGAGGGATTTCAAGCAGATGTTCCTATATTCATATAGTTAGAGAGGTGTTTGTATAAGTTAGTGTCAGGTTTGCTTAACCATTTTTTATGGAACTAAACGAAATGACTGAAGAGTAAATTTTAGTGCCAGTGATGCTAAAGACATGGCTACCTTAAAATTGTGGTGGTTTAAAAGATCTGAATAAAAAAAGGAAAATCTTTCTTACAGGCATGTTGCTGCGCTTCTTTGTGCATTTCTATGATATGGAAATCATTGAAGAAGAAGCTTTTCTGGCATGGAAAGAAGATATTACTCAAGAGTTTCCAGGGAAAGGCAAAGCTTTGTTCCAGGTGAATTATCTCACTATAGGTTTAAGCAAAACAGTTACCTCATTGTACTTGTAGATTCATTAGGGAAAACATAGAATATACTGTACAAATCTGATTTTTATAAAGTTTAAAATTGGAGTAATTAAAAATATGCCTCATGTTTTTAATAATGTTCATACTCTTAATAAATTATTATGTAGGGATTTCATATGTAGTTAATCCCCAGATACATTTGAATTTCCTTTCTTCCTTTTTCTCATTCTAATATTATTTGGGTTTAATTGCAGGTAAACCAGTGGTTGACCTGGCTGGAAACAGCAGAGGAAGAAGAATCTGAAGAAGATGCTGATTAAACCAGCCAAAGCCTTCCCTTTTACACCACTCTTTTAGCCATACATTAAACTCTGCTACATGCT